GAAAGGTTCTGCAGCAATTTGTAAGTCGTGAATCAAGGCTGAAAGGTTCTGCAGCAATTTGTAAGTCGTGAATCAAGGCCGAAAGGTTCTGCAGCAATTTGTAAGTCGTGAATCAAGGCTGAAAGGTTCTGCAGCAATTTGTAAATCTTGAATCAAGGCTGAAAGGTTCAAAACGATTCAACGAAGGTTCAACTCGCAAATGTTAACTTCGCAAAATTCTCTACATTTTTTGGAAACACTGACTGAAAAATTCCGTACAACCGTTTCAAACACAGGTGTAATATCCGGCTACGACATGACCCCGGAAGCAGCGCTGACTAAATTAGCCTACGTGTTGTCGAAGAAGGAATGGAACACGGATACGAGACGGAAGATAATGCAGACCAACTTACGTGGAGAACTGTCCGCAGGACGACCGCCTTCCCTCCAGGACGTAGACCTCGTGGAAGCGGTCGCAAGGTCTCTGAGGATCTCGTCGAGCGCCGAGTTCGCAGAGCTGGGCACGATCCTGTTCCCAGCGATGCTGAATGCCGCCGTTATCGCGAAAGATCTGGCCAAACTCGAATCATTGAAAGGCTACGTGAGTAGGCAGGACTCTCACTGTGCACGTTGACATAGGAATTCAATCGGTTCGCTGTTCCAGGGCGCGAATATCACGCAGAAGAACGCGGACGGGCGCACTGCGTTGCATATCGCCTGCTGCGAAGGGGATTTGAACGTGGTCCAGTGTCTCTTGAGGATGGGGGCTAGCGTGCATATCAAGGACCGGTTCGACCGTACACCGCTCACCGATGCTCTAGAATACGATCACCATGACGTAATGTCTTGCTATTTCGCAGCCTACGTTGTACCCTCATCGTCGGTACAATCTGCGTGTAAACTTTGTATTTGTAGATCATCAAAGTTCTGTTACAATGCGGCGCCCATCTGCACGGCAGCGGCTACCTGATAGGCGAAAAAATGTGCGTGGCAGCCGCCGTCGGGAACGTGAAACGTCTGAAGTCTTATCATATCGCGAACGCAGATCTTTCTCAGATCGAGTTCTCGGGTCGAACTCCGCTGCATTATGCCGCGTTGCACAATAAACCGCAGGTGATTAAGTTCTTGTTGGAGCACCGGGTGAACACCGACTGCAAGGACAAGATAGGGCAAACCCCTTTGGATCTGGCCAGGGCGGCCGGTTCCGCGGACGCGGTGTCATTGCTCTCGGACCCAGAGCCGACTGGCAGCTCGGTGAAAACGGCCGGATGAAAGTGAAATGAGGGGTTGATAGAAGGTTGATATAACGTAACGCCACGGTCCGTCACAATGGCCGGCTGGGACAACACGTATTAAGGAGAAAATAAAACGTTTACTCGTGCATCGCCTAACGAGCGACTGTCCTTGCATTGTGCACCGACTAACAACCGTTCCCACATTTTAACGATAGCCGGGTAAACGCCGCTATTTTGTCTCCGAGGTGTCGTTCAAACGGCGAACAACGCGAAAAAGTGAAAGCCGAACGGCGGCGGCAATCATCATGCTCGACGACGTTTCACACCCTGCGCGTACAAACAGGACGGTTCCGTGATTTCTGACGAAAGAGAAATTCCAGAGTTTCATAGAAAAATATGGTCTCTTTTTGATTCGACACTGTACAAGTGTATAGAGTGTACGTTACAATTTCGTCACACTATACCAAGCTCGGTCATCATAGTCTTCAGGAGCGTCGGCGTGATCGTGCAGCCCCTGTAAGCCGACGCGCAGTCTTTGCCGCCCCTTCGTCCGATATTCACTGCTTCTTGAATCATTGTTCCGTTGGTGACGTTCTTGAACCACTTGTGACTGTTCGAAATGGAACATTGTTAATTTATAGAAAGTCAGATCGACTCTATGAACTCGCGACAACGAGACGACTAGATCAAATACTACCGTTTGTTACAATTAATAATTAAGACAATTTTTATATCACACAGAATCCGTCGTACTCTGCAAAGCGTGTCGCCAATAATTTATTTCATAGTTTCTAATAATATACTGCTCGTATTATATACTGCTATATATAATACTTTTATATTATATACTTATATATAAGTATATTATATTATATACTGCTATTATATAATACTGCTTGTATTATTTTGTAACCATACCTGGATAATCCGTCGATGATTTTGTCGGTGCTGGTAGGACTTTCCGAGTGCGCGGCCACCGAGACGATCGAGCATACGACGCGTTGCATACACGGTGCCACGTAATTATTACCAAAAATCATGTCGTTGATCGTGTTCCCCATTTCCAGCCACTGATAATTGTTCTCCGATCCTGAAATCATCGCAGCGAAGCGCAAACAGAAATAAATCTATTTAACAACGATGCGATGGTTGCTGTTCACTTACGATAGCTCGTATGCGGACGTTCCTTCGAGAGCAGAACCGGGACCACGCTGAGCAAGGCGGTGACTACCCCAATTATTCCTAGCCCCTTGGTGTTGACGTTTAACAAGGATGGAATTTGACCGTGTTCACCGACTTTTTGTTCGATCGGCACCGTAATGAACGGTATATTTAGGGAAACATCCATCTGAGAATGAACAAGGAAGAATGTACAATATTTTCTAAATACATTCTTTTATAATTTATATACAATCGCACGGCAGATCTTTATGCGAAGAGTATATTTATTTCCAAATTCAAGTTGAAAATGTTCATTTATGTTCAACTGCACAAATGTTGCAACAGCATCGAGAGATTACGTTTGGCAAATTGTCAGCACCACGATGGAACTTACGCGAATGTTCTCGTCCTCAGGGTCGAAGGAAATCAATCCTCCGCTCGGGCGATGATGTTGATAGATCTTATTTTGCGCCTTGGTCGACTTCGTCGTCGTCTCGGCATTGTTCTCTATCGTTGAGATGCCCGAGACCATGCAGATCGTCATTACGGCGAGTATCGTCAAGGTCTTCATGGTCCCCGTTCGATCTTTGATATCCGGATACCCGTTACGATTTTTATTTACAATTTTCTAAGAACCGTCGACCGATTTCCGACGAGAACAGAGGCACTTATGAAGAATCCTTGATCCTGTCAGCAGTTTTTGTACGGGGGCCAGCCTACCCTCGGCACCCAGGAAATTGTCACCGAATTAACGAACCCAAGAGCGATTTCTGGTCAAATTACTGGCGCATCGTCGGCTTCGTTACGCCGGTCACCGTCACGGCTGGAAATTTCGTGAATCCGTGCGCGGCATGGACACGTTTCGTAATTGCTCGACGGCTCGACATTTTCACCGGAAAGAGAGCCATTCCGAGCCATTTTAGCTGCTCTCCAAATTTCCGCTATCTTTACCCTCGTTGGTCCCGGAAGATCACTCCATATTTGTATTTCACTGCGTCTTCTGAGAGTCTTCTGGATCATTTTACCTCTGAAGGACTTCGACTGCAACCGTTGATCATCAATGATCTAGTCTAAAAATTATAGCAAATATAAGAATATATAGATTATATATATGTATATATTATAGAGATTATGTATATATTATAGAGATTATATATATATTATAGAGATTATATATATATTATAGAGATTATATATATATTATAGAGATTATATATAGATTATAGATATATAGTAAATTCTCTCCAATTGTCCGCCAGCTTGTAAACAAAAATGGACAATTTGGGAAGAGAAGACACGATTTGTATAGTCACCGATTGTCAACAACTATAGAAACGAGCCTCGAGACACGAATAATCGTATCTCTTCTTCCCAAATTGCCCGTTTCTGTTTACAGGCTGAGGGACAATTAGGGAGAATTTACTGTACTGTACAACGAGCCTAATATAGCGACAATATCTAAGCGAACAGTTGAAGGAACCGAAAGAGATCGTTATACCCGTTGTTTATTCATGCTTTATTGGCAAGTGTACGTGCACTCGCGGTAGACTGTCGTGTTCATCGCGAGCACTTTTCAACGTACGTGTGCATTCACATGCGAAGTTTGTTAGCGCACGCACACGGGCCTCGACTTTCGTGAATTTTCCGGGGCAACCTGCAGAACGAATTTCTCGTCTTGAAATCAGGCGATGACAATGTGTCGAGAAGTGTACTCCAGTTTCGCAAAAGCTACTGCCGTAGAAAAGCCGATCTATTTCTAATAAATTTCGTTACTTGCAATGTTACAACGGTACCATAACTATCCTTCAATCTTTCAACCCTTGGACCAGGCAAAATATTATATTAATGATGCTCTTATAGTAATAAATGGATTTTTGAACAATTAAAGGGCTTCAAGGTAAAAACCATGGCTACTAGAAAACTAAATTAGATGGAATAAATAAATTAGGCACGCTATTGGCAACGGCGCGAGCGAGTACAATGGACGTTGCAGATGAAAGTCCATTTTTGGTAATGCAATGGCCAGCTTTCGGTTTCGCGAGCACGGTCGCCGTGTTCGTTCTAGGAAGAAGGACCCGTTAATGGCCTCGTTATCACTCTTGCGAAAGATAGATTAGTTCGGGCTGGAGATGTCCAAGCTATGGACAACAATGCTGGGCGATAATGGTCGTCCTCCTGGTTCCTCAGGAGAGACGGACGAGTCACGCACCGTGATAGCGTCCCATGAAAATCTGACAACGAAAGCGAAACCACCGCGTCGCGCGCCGCCCGCCGCCCTCGTGGCCAATTATCCTCATGGCTGGTGGGCTCCGTGACCAGCTGAAGCAGGCGGTGGTGTACCAGGTGAACGGCTATATATTCCAGAAGTCTTCTTCGTGTCGTTCAGTTTCTCCGACGTCTACGCGACCATTGGGCACCGTCACTTTCTCCCGTTCCTTCAAGGTATGTATGTTCTCGCTGTGGAATCCACAACAACATTCGCACGGGCTGTCAGAACGCCTGGACGAGTTCAACGAATCTTTCACAAGCCGCTTCTGTTCCAGATGATGTTCAACGCGCGAAGTCTGATCGTCTTGCTGGTATCTTCGGTTGTGTTCGTCAACGGCAGTCCAAAATACGACGATGGAGGGTAAGATAGTACGTCGCGTTCACGTAGGAAGCTTCCAGGATCTCTCTGAAACACGATGGAAATTGACTTAAAAAACAGATTCGTGCCAAGCTCCATGATCTTCTTGGAAAGGGACCCGAAGACCCAGGATCAGCTGGCCATGCCATCGCAGGTGGATCCAAGGAGTGAAACGAAACGCAGCGAGTCGACCGCGAATGATATCACGGATCGGAATCAAGAGCCCAGATTTGGGTTCACGAGCGTCGGTACCACAGGGACCGTACGTGATTTCATTTCGGACAGTTCTTTTAGAAAGCGTTTAGAAAGTCGTTAGAGAGTAAGTTATTTACTAAAGTATTTGGACTGCTTCAGGGTTACGGGGTGTCCTCGTATGCTCCCGCGAAGATCGACCTAGGTGGGCTGGTTTTGGGGGCCATTATAGGGGTAGGTTCCATCCTGATCATCCCCAAACTGCTGTACGTGCTCTCTGGCACCTATGGCCAGTACGCAAGAAGTAAGATGAACACGAAATCATTTGTTTCTCTGTAGAAGGTAATACAAAGATTAGCAAGCAAAGAACGAATTTGCTACATTTTACAAAGGGGACGCATTGCTTAACCCATTGACTGCCACGCAAATTCAGCGCATCTTGCCCTGGGTGCCACAGTTTTATTTGAAAGAAAACATGAAGTTTTACAAAATATAATAATATTAGGTTACCGATATAATACTGCAATGGCATTTACAGTATTTTTTTATTTATAATCAATACGTTCTCTACGCTATATACATTTTTCATTCATCCTTTCTAATATTTCCTAACTCGAATAGCCATTTGTAGCCGATCTAAACTTGCAGCACCCATTACGAGACATCTCATAGCTGGCAGTTTTGGTACAGACACTTGCTACGAGATATCTCATAACTGGCAGTTTTGGTACAGACGCTTACTACGAGATATCTCGTAGTTGGCAGTCAATGGGTTATTGGTAGTTCTGATTGGAAGCATGAAGAGTGCGGTGGCATTCAAGAGAGCAACGCATAAGGAATGAATTTGTGAACTTGCCGTTTCTTATGGGAAGAAAGTAACACTGAATTAATTTGCAGGCGAAGAGAGCGGTGTTTCTCAGATAGTGACGAAGCTGGACGACATCATGACCCGGCACGGGATAGACACCACGTCCTGCATGCAGCGGGCTGTGTGCACCTACTCGCAGCAGGCTGCCACGTCTATGAAGGAGGCGAACAGGTTAAACGACGAAGAGCAAGTGTCGTCGTTCGATCGCATGATCGACACGATAACAACGAACCAGGTTTTCCGCACCGCGATGGACGGAACCGCGATCCAGGAAGCGGTGGAAGCTGGGAGATCTGGCCGCAGTTGTCCACGCGTGTATCCTCATTGCGGCTTTTCCATGGAGACTATGCTGTCGTTGTTGTCAAACGTGATCACCGCGGCAACTAGCGCCAACACGGGATCGACGACAGCCCCTAGTGGGCCTGGACCAGTCTAACTCTGAAACAGACCAGATAAATCGGTAGAAACTTTCCGGGCAAACGCAGGAGCTTAAAAGTTGCATACCTTAGGGGCTTCGGAAGGTCGTCCGATTAACACACTCGGTGGCTGGTCTTTATGCTTTTTTTTTTAAGAACAGGTTACGATGTATCTTACATATCCTTCTTGGCGTCTATTGTTACACTGTTGGAGGTCGTTCAAAAATTGTTCTTTTGAAGTTTTCTAGTCGCAGAAATCGAATATGTTCTCTATCATATCGTCCAGAAAAATCAAAACAATAATGGAAGAAAATGCAGCAAAGACTTGCGCCGAAGAATGCGGATGAAACAAAAGCACATCGTGTCAGCCGTATTAAAAATCGTTTCTTTGATCGGAGTGTCCTCTCCTCTTTTGCTTCTTGTGTTTGTGTCCCGTGAAAGTGTCTAACGTGTACGATATCGCAATGGGGAGCACCTGAACGCCATAGAACGAAGCTAAGAGTGTTGTTTACGATTCCATTTCAATTAGTCGCTAGATAGGGATTGACCAGTTCCTGATGGAATCACGTAGTTTTTTTTTTAGGACCGCAGGTGGTCGGAGGAAACGTTTGATTCAAACGCTGGACTCGCAACGTGTCTTTTTATGTTCTCTTATATTTCGTTTGTTACATGCGTCGTCGATTCCAATGGAATTGTTGAGCCGATACCACGTAGTGACAATATTCTCTCGACGTGAACAAGTTTTGCGTCGACGAATCGAGCCGTACAGAGCAAAATGATGACCGTAATCTTCTCGTATGCGCGCTCGGTATACTCGTAGACTATACATAGATGATAACAGAGAAAAAGGAACTCTAGTTTGTTATAGTTTCTCTTTCATCGACTGTACTTCGACGATCGTCGCGTTTGAACATTGTAGGCACATTCTAAATTAATGTCTCCTCTCTTTAACGCTATTCTTCTCGATTTAGGGTACCGTTCACAATTATTGGAAAGACTCGAAGAACGTAATGTCGTACTTGAAAGACGAGATAAAAATGATTCAATTCCAAATGGTTGTCGCTACAATAAACATAAGATAATATAATTTCCGATTATTGCCTGAAAAAGAAATGTTGACATTCCTGGAAGTAATTTGATCAATATTTTTACTAATTCTCATTTCCTGCGTTTTATAATTTGTTCTCTGCTTTTACAGAGCGCAGTGTTCCTCGTCTAACTCTCGTCCCTTAAATTTAAAACACATCCCATTGTAATTGTTAAAGCTAGAGCTAAAGCTTAGAGTTTAAAATAAAAAATGTAAGACGTCGATGCTTCAATTTTTAATAGATACAACCGCCGTCGTTCTAATAATTGTAAGAGGTGCCGTAAACAGACGCAACAATCTTTAAGAGCGTATAGAAATATATATCGATCGTTCGCGATCCACAATCCACGTGCGAGGTGTCCATTCCATAGAGAAGTGAAACGAACATCGTTAAGACCAACACCGAGCAACGTGTTTCTAAATCACCAACATTCGACTCGTCATCGAAATCCCAAGAGATACCTTGAGCGATCAACGGGTAATTCGATCGTAAAGCTTCATGATGTTATATGGAAAAATAGTGAATACTCTCTATACATGTATCCTAGAAGTTCTTTGGTCCTTAGCGAGATACTTCCAAAGGATTGTTAAACAACAAAATCATGATAACATTCGTAAACTCAGTAAACGCAACGCAACAAGCATATCCAGTGAGCCCTACTTCCATTTTATACAGGGTGACCCAAATATGTCTCACAATCCGGAAATGGCGGATTCCTCGGATCATTTGAAGCAACTTCTTCCTTTACAAAAATTTTCTCCGAGGCACTGTTAACGAGTTATTAACGAAAAACAGTGCGCCAATAAGAATCGAGTACGGCTGACGCGAGGCGGCCCAGCCAACCAGCACACGAAGCCCGGTTCCGCTCATTGGCTCGGTCGCCTCGCGCCAGCCGAGCTCGCCTCTCATTGGTCACTGTTTTTCGTTAATAACTCGTTAACGGTGCCTCGNGCTTTTACAGAGCGCAGTGTTCCTCGTCTAACTCTCGTCCCTTAAATTTAAAACACATCCCATTGTAATTGTTAAAGCTAGAGCTAAAGCTTAGAGTTTAAAATAAAAAATGTAAGACGTCGATGCTTCAATTTTTAATAGATACAACCGCCGTCGTTCTAATAATTGTAAGAGGTGCCGTAAACAGACGCAACAATCTTTAAGAGCGTATAGAAATATATATCGATCGTTCGCGATCCACAATCCACGTGCGAGGTGTCCATTCCATAGAGAAGTGAAACGAACATCGTTAAGACCAACACCGAGCAACGTGTTTCTAAATCACCAACATTCGACTCGTCATCGAAATCCCAAGAGATACCTTGAGCGATCAACGGGTAATTCGATCGTAAAGCTTCATGATGTTATATGGAAAAATAGTGAATACTCTCTATACATGTATCCTAGAAGTTCTTTGGTCCTTAGCGAGATACTTCCAAAGGATTGTTAAACAACAAAATCATGATAACATTCGTAAACTCAGTAAACGCAACGCAACAAGCATATCCAGTGAGCCCTACTTCCATTTTATACAGGGTGACCCAAATATGTCTCACAATCCGGAAATGGCGGATTCCTCGGATCATTTGAAGCAACTTCTTCCTTTACAAAAATTTTCTCCGAGGCACTGTTAACGAGTTATTAACGAAAAACAGTGCGCCAATAAGAATCGAGTACGGCTGACGCGAGGCGGCCCAGCCAACCAGCACACGAAGCCCGGTTCCGCTCATTGGCTCGGTCGCCTCGCGCCAGCCGAGCTCGCCTCTCATTGGTCACTGTTTTTCGTTAATAACTCGTTAACGGTGCCTCGGAGAAAATTTTTGTAAAGGAAGAAGTTGCTTCGAATGACCTGAAGAATCCACCATTTTCGGATTACGAGACATTTTTGGAACACTCTGTATATATCTTACCGATGAACATATCTTAATCGCGATAACGTGTATCGAATTTTTATCGTTTTTCCATCTACGCGTTCTGGCGCACGCTAAACCAGTGCTGTCTATGGGAGACGAACAGTATCCCTGCCACAATGCGGCACGGCACGAGAATGACAGAAAAATTCGTTATCGTATTTTTGCCCGATTCGGCAAAAACGGCGTTTCCAGGGAAAGCCGGCGCCGGCGCGTTTAACTCATGGGCCCCTATCATAGACAGCACCGCACTAAATCCCTGAATAATTATTAGGTCGAGTCGTAAACAATTGCGTATCCGAGAATAAATTGCAATGATACTTTTGTATCATCCTAATAACTCGTTATATCCTAGCTACCAGCTAAACAGCATCAAGCATCGTAAATAATGATAAGCATATTAATTATAAGTATAATAATTGAATACGATATAACTATTGTTACTTTCATAGATAAAATAAAATTGACACGCTAAAACGACAATTGTACAAGACTCGAGCTAATAATAATTTCGCTGATAAATTCATACGATTCTCGAAGTGCATTTAATAATCGACACCCCCGCCCCCCTAGCTACAAACGTCGTTCGATTTTTATAAGAATAAGATCTCCGGTATCTACAACGTACATTCGACGTGCAATCGCTTCCCCAGCACAAAAACAATCGTAAACACACTTGTACCCGTTTCCGCGATTGGCAACGTTATTTCATGTATTGTCGCTTCGGCAGAAGCAAAACCACCCCTATCGCGACGCACACGTGCCACAGGCTGTGAATGATGTAGTAATTACGTCGTGTCTGTAGAAACGCGTAACACACCAGGCCGAAGGACACCAGCAGTAGACCAGCCGGAAAATAAATACTTCTGTAAATCAAAGGAAACGGCATGTTCAGTAATAAATTAACAGCAACACATAGGAGAGTTTCAAGGAGTAGTTGTAACAGTACTTATGCTCTTATAAAAAAGCAATTTGAAAATTTAACATGAAATCAGCTTACGTAAGACAAAATGTGAAAATTCAAGCTTTCACGCGCATGCCTACTTCCTTTCTAATTGCAAATTTGCGACAATAGAAATGGGTATGTCATGGTCAGACCACGTTAGTTGAGCTAATAATCCGCATTTCTCGTTTTCTATTATCTTTTTTTCCACTAAAGTTAATTGCTTTCTTGGTTGTATTATCGTTGTCAGAACATCCCGTGTACAGTGGAAGACTGCTGCAGGGGCTATTGTATTTCTAGGGTACAATTGTTCAGAGTAATTGTACTTCTGGCAATGAGTGTAACTGTATCGTAATTGCAGGGACCCAGAAAAACACAGTTTACTCGGTAGCCTCGAATTTAAAGATTATACCTGTAAGGTCGAGAAGGATAGCGGACAGTGCCCCTCCTCTTGCACCTGGAGCCCCACGAAAGGCCGATAAGAGCCGAGCCAGTGATAGCCGGCAAAAGAAATACCCAGAGAGCCGTGCGGTCCATCTCGGCGCTCATAGCTAGGATAACAGCGCCGGAAATCTGGCAGAAAGCGGTGAGCTTCGGGCCGAATGAGGCCATGGCCACCAGGGTCACCCAGATAGACAGCAGAGCATTGAAGAAGTCGCAGAACTGAAGGACGCCTAGCCTCATGATGCACACGCTGTACACATCTTCGCCCGCCTCGCAGGCGTGGTAGAACGTTGAGAAGAACATCACGGCCGCGTAGACGATGGCTTCCGTGAAGTACTCCCTGCGCACCGCCACGTACACCGACGCTATGAACGCCAGATTACTGCAGGTCAACAGCATCATTCTGATGATCACGTCGCTGTTGCTGAGGACGTACGTGTCGTCGGCGCAGTCGAACCCTCTGTAGGCGCCTGTCGAACATTCGTTCTCATGTTATAGCCGTTCCGACCTGTCCAGCAAGTTCTGAATTGCTCACCTGCGCAGTGACACGCCGCGAACACGAAGCCGCCGCTCATGTAGTGCATGCACTTCCCGCGGGAGTTGCAACGACCCTCGATGCAGGGCAGAGAAGAGATACGACTCTCCACCTTGGCGTTGCAGGGGATCATGCATTCGCAGTCCTCGCAGGCAACGCCATTCAGACAGGTGGACGCGCACTGGCAATCTTTCTCCACGCAGAATGACCTCAGGCTTACATGCCAGGTGCCTGGTTCCGGATAGGGAATGTGCAGAGTAGCCGGCTCTGTGCAGTTCACGTAGATGTCCGCAGCCGTGATGTTGTCCAGCCGCTCGCATCCTCCGCCAGCGGTGATGTTCGAGTAGTAACCTGTGAAGATGAGGGCCAGTCAGAAGCGCTCTATACAATATACCAGAAGAGTCGAACACAAAGCAACGAAGCCACTGAAACTGGCTGGCTATCGGCAGGCAGGAATACCTAAGGAAATGCAAGCCACAACGACGACGTTCCTTTTCTCCTTCTCCTCGTTCTCCACCAGCTTGAGGCCCAAGGTCAAGGTGCCCCCTACATCATAGATCCGACCGATCCCGAAGCTGAGAACGGACATGGCGTCGGCCGAGAGATTGAAGGCCGACGGTTTGGTCCCGTTCCCCAGCAAATGCTCGTAATCGAAGAGAAAGAAATCGGGCAGCGACTTCCTCATCAGGTCGACCGATTTCACCTGGCTAGAGTTGGTCGGACTGACGTCGAGCAGCTGCAGAGACACGTTCGAGGCGTCTCCGGAGAGCAGACGAAGGGTCACGTAATGGAACACGTCCGAGTACGGCTTGAAAAGCAGAGTGGTGTTAGTGGTGTTGACAATTGTAGCTGCCAGATGATCGTCCGCGGTGATGTGTACAGCCACTCGACACTCCTCGCCGCAGGAAGACCTTAAAGAGAGGCTGGACTCGACGTAATTGTCGGGCACCAACAGCTGCATCATGGCGGAATTCGCGCTCTCGTTCATGTGCACGTACATCAGCTTCGAGTCCATCAGGGACACCAGGGACGCCGATTCCAGCAGCAATTCCGCGTTCAGCACGGTGTCGCAGGTGGCACCCAGACCTGCGGGAATGGATGCGTCAGTGCGTGAATGTTGTATCACCGGTGGGAGGGGGCGAAGCGTTTAAAAAAACGTGGCAGATATCCAAAAGTGTGAAGATTCATAAACCTAGGATTTCCCATCGTGAAAGTATACCTGACAATGTTTCAATGATTTAGACGGTAGCCAGGATCATTTCGGATCAAATTGTTGAACATTTTGAAGTCAAAAGATCATCAGAAGAGAAGCTTTGAAGATCTACGGGTGGATTATAGATTGTAGATACAGCGACTCCCGTTAATATTCAGACACTCTTCAAAACGCGATAACCTTTTTAAAACTGGACTAAACGGCCTGAATTTTTCATTTGGATGATAGAGGGACTAGTAATCTGGAAATGGCGGGTTCCTCGGGTCATTTGAAGCAACTTCTTCCTTTACTAAAATGTTCTCCGAGGCACCGTTAACGAGTTGTCAACGAAAAACAGTGCGCCAATAAGAATCGAGTACGGCTGACGCGAGGCGGCCCAGCCAACCAGCGCACGAAGCCCAGTTCCGCTGATTGGCTCGACCATCTCGCGCTAGCCGCGCTCGTCGAGCCAGAGAGCGCACGATCCCCAGTTGCGCTCTGATTGGTTCGGCCGCCTCGCGCCAGCCGCGCTCGCCTCTCATTGGTCACTGTTTCTCGCTAATAACTCGTTAACGGTGGCTCGGAGAACATTTTTGTAAAGGAAAAAGTTGCTTCGAATGATCCGAGGAACCCGTCACTTTCGGATTGCGAGACATTCTTGGCACACCCTGTAGACAATGACTGAACTACTTTGTTACAATTTTGCTATTAGACTAAAGACTTAGACTTAGATTCTAACTTTTTTATCCGAGCCCATAACGAAAATTTAAAAGATAACATCAACGGGAGTCACTGTAGATCGGCTATTATTATTATTCACGGTAAGCTGCGTGGTTCAATGATGAGTTTTCAGGGTTTTCCGAGTTGGCGAAGACGATTTGTACCCTGTTGAGTAATCTTCCCATTGTCAGGATCGCTCCAGGATCGAAACGCGATGGCATACCAATCGCCCGGCGCGGGTGCGTGTATCCTAATCTCGTACTCGTCGCCGTTGCTCTCCATGTTCAATGCGTAATACCGACGTCTACCTTGCATCAGTTTCGCGGCTATTTTCGAGCCGTCGGGTCGCACGAACGGTAAACTGCCTGACTTCAAGAACAACGAGACGTTCCTCGGCGAGCATCTACCTATTCCGCCAGTTTTCTCTTCTTCGACAGTGAACCTGAAACGCGTCGCTTAATTAGAGCAAGTATAAGTCAGTTTATCCTACGGGTGAAACGGCGCGCTTACCTGAACGCCGCAGCGACCGTGCAGTCCGGCACGTTGAAGTGGATGATCGAGATGTGACGGTAAGCGTAATAATCGTCGAGAACGACGTTCAGCCGTTGCGCGACCCGCTCGAGTTTGCCGCATAGCGTTTGCTCTTTCGTAAGGATCCATGCCAATGAGAAGGCTAGCACGATGTGTCGCATATTATAATTCCTGCGATCCGCCACATAACAAGATACCTCTTTTGTCCGTTAGATGAATCCTTCCGCTTTGCTATCCTGCACAGAAAGCACAGTATTGTCACCATTAAGGATATGGCCTTGGAACAATCGGTCGTTAACAGCTTGGAACACAAGGTTTCTTAACGAATCTCCGTCTTAATCGTTTACGTTAAAAAGTATACATTAAAATTGTATACGTTACTAGGTTATGTCCGGTAGGTAAAGTGACAAATATTATTCGATGGCTCTCCCGAGTCAGGCATGATCTCTCAAATTGAATCTCGTAAACTGAAAATAAAGGTTTAAAACGTTTTTCATGTTTTCTGTCAGGTGGATTCGAGTGGACCTAGTTCTTTTATTAAGGCTTAAGGTACTGTATTCCGGAGAAGCGATCAGCATCTTCTTTATAGAGCCGTTATCAGAATTGATGATTCACCGTGGCACGCTTCTTTACATGTAATTGGCCCCCAAGATAAGTTAAATGGAGGAGACGGCGACGACAATGAGGAAGTATCCCAATTTGCGGTAATTCGCGGCCAGGAAATTAGGAAAGAGGAGCCTACATCTTCGTCTCGCGTCTGGACGGGTTCCGTGCCTAGACGTGCAACAAGATTCGAGCGATCTGCATGCAGAAGTAGGTCAGATTCCTCCAGCTAATTCGCGCTTCCTGCGTTCGGAAGAACGATAGCTTATCGGACCACGGGCCTCCAAGCTGTATCGTTTGCAATTCTTGCACCCGAAAGCGTTTCGCATTCAACGCGGAGATTTTTTACTTTTTGCCAGCGCGATCTTACTGTTATCTTGGAAACATCTGCGCCGGGCTAATGGACACAGAAAATCCATCGTCGGACACTGTAAAATGACCTGGATCTGCCGATTTTCGAAAATCTCATATTTTCAAGCGTCTTAAAAAATCAAGTTCGTTACATCTTTGACTAGCAGAAGAGCAAATGAAGACTTTTCAAAGGTGAAAAAGTTCAGAAATCAAATTCACTTGGTTATACATAAAATATTTTTAATTAGTCTAGTTTTCAAAATGAATTGAAGCACACGTTTGAAGAAATCGTACAGTAAAGAGAACGATGTAAAAAAATAATTTTCTTCTGGCTTAGTTTGAGTGCCAAGACTCGGAAAATATTTCGAAAAATATTTATTATTATATATATTATAATATAATAATATAATATAATATATATAATATATTATAATATAATAATATAATATAATATAATATATATAATATATTATATATATATATATATATATTATAGATTTTAAACGTGTGGAAAAGAGCAACGTTAATGATATTTAAAAGTCGGTACCTTTCTTGCGCTAGCGTGCGTCAATGTGCGGGTGGAAAAAGTACGTCTGTAAGTATCTAAGTTAACAATAACTGCAAGGTTCGACCGCGTCAACCTGCGACTTCGGGTGTTATCTCATAAAATGTCGATAAACAACTTCGTAACCGAGGAGGCGCAAGATGCAGACAACAAAGACTAACGACACTGTACAGTAGAGAGTTTTAGTTTCGTTGGTTCCTTATGTGAATAAATTTCGTTGAGAACCAAAAACAAAAGATAAGTTACATTTTGCTGAAGAAGTCGACGTGCTGCTGTTGTATAAATCTTGACAATGGCTTACATTATTTAATTTGAAATTACATGAAATGATTACTTTTTAAATCAAGCAGTTTTTACTTATTTAATTAATTTATTATTCCGCGTGACTAAGAACAATTACAAGTACACTTTTTGTCGAGATTTTCTCTGAAATAGAGCTTTCCAAGGATTTTAGCTGTTCTTGGTCTTCTTGGGCCATCGTACGCTGTGGTAACAGACAACGACTGAAAATACTATTCTCTATAATAATATATATACTATTTTCTATATATACTATTATATATTATAATATATTATAATATATTATATATATTATATATGATACTATTATATATACTATTCTCTCTATTTATATATACTATATTCTCTATATTATTCTCTATAATTAATATTATTGCCATCAAAAATTATTCGGAGCGTGTCAAAAAAATACTCAGTTGTTAGTAAAATACTTGCTTGTATTTTCTCACTTACCTCCCTTAAATACCACGAATGATTATTGATCTCAAATATTATATCCGATTGAAGGAGGTGCGAAGGCAAGCAAAAAAAAACAACACTATTTATCTAGTCCGATAAGTTAGTCAAACATGTTTGCCGATAGCACTTGATAAGAATAACATTTGTTCAACCTGTTTCTCGAACGTCTCAATTTTCGCAGTTCCAGTTTAAAGAGCACAAGGAAAATTGAAAATAAGTCAGTAATCTCTGAACAGACGGTCGAGATATTCGATAATGCGCGAAGCATCGATTTTCTGTAAATAGTTAGGGTAGCCTATCTTATCTTAATAATTAATTAAACGAACGATCGTAAAAGCGGCTTTCTACACGTTGAAGCATAATTCGTAATAGCTGTTATATCGGGCACGGTCTAACAAACGACAATCTGGGCCGGTGCCGTGCCAATCTCAATTAGCAACAATCAGCAGAACCTGGTGCATATCTAGACTAACTTGGTTAACAATCAATGCAGCGTCGATCAACAGGTCTCGCTTCGAAACTTCAACCGCGATTCAATCGTCGCGTTTCAAGAAGTTTCACAGAGCAGATTCGATAAAAGGCGGAAAAACATTTAAACTTTCTGCGAGGATACAGGCACCAAATGTTTACAAATATCGTAACAAAATGTTTCGATGTTACAAACGGCGGGATACCTTGCACGCTAAAAGCTTCCAAATTATTTACGCGTACGCACCGATTGCCTACCGAAAGGGTAGGCCGTCGATTACCGACCGGTTTCGAATATCGGTCGGTAATTGCAGATTAACCGAGCGATTTATCGTTACCGTTAACTTCGTCTCTGTAACGCTCTGACACGCGGATGCACGTGGTTACGTTCGATTAGTCGAGTGTCGCACGAAACGGGTCGGAGATCATGTTTCAGAAGGGTCGACTTCTCGAGGCTCGAGACAAAGGCCAGAATTGAACTGTCCAGGATTATCTTGAACATAGAAGCAGCAACAAGTGTTCCAAGCAATTTTTCAACGGGTTTCCCGGCCGATCGAAATTCCCGCGGAAACGTCGACGAACGCGCGGCTTATCCGCGAACCCTCCTGCTTAACCGGATATTTTCGTCGATGTTAGTCGAATTCCGTCCGACCGCGTTCGAGTAGGTACTTTTAGACTTATCACCGCGACCAGTTAACCCATCGAGGGCCAAACGTTGCCTCGACATAATAACATTTCATTCGCGATTCTTTCCCGTGAATTAAACGTTTCCCCTAAATTCTGCTTTTCGTATTTGCAGTTTCGCCTGTGGTCAAGGTTATCATCGCTGAAATTTTTCATAGCGAATATCAAGCATTTCAAGCGAAGCAACGAAACCATCCTACTTCCAGTGCTCTCGCAACACCGAAATATTTCGATAACATTTGACTTATTTTGTAACCTATTAAGCAACGAATCGTCGAAATCCGTTTATTGGTTTATCGCGGCGGTTCGATTGCCGATAAGCCTGTTATGTGACTCTCGACCTCGGCGCAGCAAGGGCTGCAGCGAAGAACCAGAGACTCGCGGATTCCAACGAGTAACGCGGTTCCTCTGTTTTCACCATTTAGAATAATTCATGCGTATCTGCAATCATCCCCCTCCCCGTCTATCGGATGCGGCGCGCCGTTCCCCGGGTCTATTATGTGGAGCTGCGATGATGTTAATCGCAGCTGCTATTGAGAAGAAGCTTTTTTCGCATCGAATTCAATGCGACACGATCGTGCCCGGACAATAGGAACCGTGTGTATATATGTACTTACTATTGACTCGGGCGAGCAATAGAACGTTAATTTCCTCGTTACTAACAGTCCTGCGTGATATGGCATCGAGCATTTGGCCGTTTATCCGCAGCGTGAACGGTGTCAAGTATGTTTCCCTTGCGACTTAACGATTCACCGCGGTCCGGTCCTCCGGGTGTATACTGTGAACCGTCACTGTGCACGCGCGAACACGGGAACACCGGGAACTCGGCCCGAACACGTGGTCGGTTTGACAGCTATTCCCGATCTCACGTGAGAGCGAGCGCGTTCGTGGCCGCTCGGCAGACTGTGAGAAATCCCCGGGAGGTATTTATCGATCGGCGTTCTACGCGCGGACAGAAGAATATTCGCGCGCGACGATTGACCGGGCGAATGCGCTCTGCGCGCGCGATCGCTCGTCGCGTTCGTCACTGATTCACACTCTCGTGTCGTTCACGAGCGTGCACGACGGGAACGCGGAGTGAGAAAGTCTGTGGCACCGTGTGTATGTACCCAGCAGTGATTCAAGACTTCCTCTCCTCAACTAGACGCGACATTATTGAATCGAGCCCAATGCGCTGCGACCGAGACGCAGTCCAGCACGTGGGTCGATCAGCTGAGCGGACCACCACGCTCGGCCTCGCAGCTTTTTAAATGCCATTCTAATCGCTGCCACTTCCGACGACGTCTTCGATGATACAATTTTTCGTTTTTCGTATTATTTATTATTTATTATTATTAATTTTATTATTATTATTTTTTTATTTTATTTTATTTTTTATTATTTTATTATATTTATTATATATTATTTTTCGCGTATTAACGCATACACAGACACCACTGTTTTCAACGCAAACAGCCGATCAGAAGTTATAAAGCTATGCATACACATGCATGCGGCATCATATGTGTAGAATGTGTGTACAGAAAATCCAAGAGTTCGGTGAAGCAAATGTTCGCTCTAACATCACGCGCAATAAAAGATGATCGATCGAAATCGCTGATCGATGCTTGAAATATTGTCAATACGTATGATAATAATGTGGAATGAAAACATATTATTCAATTAATTAAAATAATCGGTATCAACGTCTCGATGGAAGTTTTAAATACATTCTGTGAAATTATGATGCTAAAAATATGTATATTTCACGTTTAATCTATCGAATTTGTTTCCTGAAAGATAAACATTTTGGCATATTCGTTAACATCGAACATTAAAACAGTTTGACACGTTTGGAATCATTGTGTGTCACTTTCTCGAAATTCCAGATTGTACATCATACTGACATAGATTATACGTCTCGTTTACTATGACGTCACGTAGATGATTTCATCTTTGCTTCAGGGAAATGATCCGAAGCCATGTCTATACGACATGGATACGTTCTAAGAGTTGCACATCCGGCATCGATTCAATAGCCAATTGGAAGCCGATGCAGTGGTGCCTCAACTCCTGCGCGGTTTTCTTCCTCTCTAAGGTAGCGCTTCTATCCCCGCCATTGCCCATCCAATCTGCAGCGAATCGTGTCTCAGCATTGCATCGTCAGTCGATCAGAGCGAAGCAATTTCTACTCCTATTCTCATTAATGTAGCACGCTGCGGTTGGACAGTCTTGCAGAAACTTAGGCATCATTGCATTTGATACCTTTCGATACTGTATATATTTCGGGAGTTATCATTTATTGCTTAGAGTAATTACAGTACATTAGAATGGCAGTACCTAACTGGATTCCTAGGATTATTCGATTTTCGTGAAGACACTAAAAATGGAGAACTCCAATGTGTACATTAAATAAATATCTTATCTGGTTTTACTGTGTCACCCGATATTATTTTCATGAAAATGTCGCCCAAGAGGGACAATACTCCTAGAGAGACTTACTCCTGCACGCTTTTCTTACTCCCTAAGCTGACGCGCACATCCCCACCATTTTACTGCGCATACAATCCGCAGTGGATCCTGTCGCGGCAGTGAAGCGTCAGCCAATCAGAGCGAAGAAAATTTCTGTGTCTACCCTCGTTTATGGATCAAGCTGCGGCCTAGAGATGTGCAAGAGTAGGACTAATTACTGTACAAGTGCATATTTAGAAAATGTACAGTATCCGAATATAAACATAAATCAGAATTAAAAATTAACACCTACGTAGATAAAAATAAGAGAAAAAGGTGAAAATTGTGCATTGTATGCAGTTGCTGTTGCTAGCTTGTGTTTGTTCATTTTAACGTGAAATTACAGTTATTAAGATTAATTGAATTACGTTTTATCAAGCGTACACTCCCGTTTAAATAGACTTTCTAATCTTGTATACATGCAACATACGTGATCCAAATTTGCTGCCACATTTACCAATCAAACGAGAAAACATCTCCTTCATGTAAATGGAACTTTATCGTTTGGAACGTACACAGGACGCATGCGTAACCCCACCTACTGTTCATGACAAATGCAACTTTTACTTCCGGTTGAGTTTGACCTCTGTACAAGGTTTTTTGGGTTTAGCAGTATTCTTGCGTGGTGCTTCTGTTATCGTACGTCATCCGTAATTTTTCTTAGCAGCTCTTGCACTTTGCAATTCTATATCTCCCGGGGATATATTTTGTTTGTCGTATGTCCATCCAGAATCTCAACACATTCGGCAAGTATTATATTTTCTGTTCTGGAGCTGATCGTATTCTAGAAGATAGTTTTGTCAAAATGGCGACGGCGTCTTTTCCTTGCATCATAGTACGCAATCAATTAATGGTCCGCGTCGATATTCCGTTCGCTTCTCTAACATAATTGTTCTTGTTAAGAATATTATCGATCGTATGTTAATGTAAAACGAATCGTTCCTTTTTTTTGTGCAGACCCCTTTGCAGATGCAATCAAGGGTTCAGATGATGATGTCCAAGACGGTCTCGTGCATATAAGGATTCAACAACGGAATGGTCGTAAGACCTTAACCACGGTGCAAGGCCTCTCATCTGAATATGACTTGAAGAAAATAGTGAGAGCATGTAAAAAGGTAATTATGAATTTTCCGAAACCGTGCGATACGTGTCCATTTTGACGAGTTAATCTTTTGTCAGTGTCACATACTGTGCTAAATATAGAATCGACGCAAACAGTTGCTCAGCGTAAATGTTGTTTCACAAAAGTCTACAAATATTGTATTTCGCATTATTTCGATAAATATTATTAAGTGGATTTAATATTAATATAAATAACAGTGACACACACACATTTATCGTATTATCGAAATATAGATGACTGCTTGGATTTCACTAATTTGTCATATATTGCAATACATATCGGTGCTTATAAGATTTGTCAGTTATTTAGCTGTAAAATTGTTTCATATGTCTTTAATTTGTACAATTTTAGGTATTTTATCAATTTTAGTTTTTTATATTTTTTTTCGCTAATTAGTGAAATATTAAAAATATTTCATACTTTTTACCTTGAATTTGTTTACATTTTAATTAAATTGTAAGTATAAATTCGAGAAAGATAAGGTGTAAAATGTATTAATCTAGTGAATACTGTGGAAACATTTTTATTCTTGTTATGTCTAGGATGGACAAAACCAATGCAAATATCACCTATTCTTAGTACTCAATTTGCAGTTATCAAAAATGTAGAAATGTTTTTATAAGAAATTGTTAAATTAATTTTTCTCAAATTTTTTACATATTGTCTTCTAGTTTTTATAAGACATTGTAAATGAAGCATTTTTAGTGGTCAGTCATTTTGGTATGAGAATGATCGGTGAAAAAATTTGATAAAAACTAGAAAACGAAACTTCTCTTCATAGGAGTTCGCCTGCAATGGGACAGTAATCGAGCACCCGGAGTACGGGGAGGTGTTGCAGCTGCAGGGGGACCAGCGAGAAAATATATGCCAATGGTTAACAAAGTCAGGTCTGGCTAAACCTGACCAACTCAAAGTCCATGGTTTTTAACCAGCAAACACCCATGCCACTATCTAAGAACACACCACCATCATCAACACCTTATCATCTTAAATTATCTGTATCAGTCACTAATACTTGTTGATATTTCGTGAGATATCCTATTATATACACATATATATTTCAATAAAAAATATATAACAGTAACGATATAGGCACAATATTCTAATCAGACATTTGTAAGCTTGTAGGAAGCAATATTTTACAGCCTTATGTTAGGTAATCCACTAAACTCATCACGTTTAAAGTAGTAGCGATAACTAACTAGTAATTTGAGAAAATACATATACAAGGGATAGATACAAATAGTAACGGATGGCTCTTCTTTTTGGAATTAGGTAGTATGTATCTCGGCGCTATAGATGTATTCAGAGAAAGATAAAAAAAGAATTGTTTTAGGCTGCAGATTGGCTTACTGTGTGTAATGACGAATGCTTTGTTTTTTTTTTTTTTAATATATACACTAAGGGTAACAGACATGATTTTATATTGTCATCTCCAAGTTTTGTGCCTTTGATTCCGCATTGATTGTATTATTTATTGAAATGATCATCTTTTATTGTAACGGATTTTGTAGGGAGAATTGCCAATTTTTTCCTTTTTAATACAGTATTGACAAAGCGAGAATTGTTTCCAATAAAAATGTGGCTGTTCTAAATAAATAAATAAATGGTAATTCACCAATTGTATGACTTTTAATTTACAACGTTCCCTTCTTGAAATGGTAATGTCAGTACAAAGATATTATCTACTTAAAACATAATTGATTACGGAATAAATATTAAACTTAAATA